TATCAAAAATGGAGTAGTTTGCAAAGTGAATAACAGCAGTAATGATGTTGGTGCTTGAGCAGTCTCAGTTTACATTTACCATAGACATTGCTGGGACATTGCTGTCCCAGGACTGGACACACCACTGGCAGATGGAGCAGCTGTGCCAGATGATGACTCAGCTGCAGAGTGAACTTGTGAACCCATGCCAAATACCAAATGCTAGCATTACATTTTTGGCAATAAACCCACAAAAACATTTCAGCAATCTTGTTGCTGCCTTACAAAACAAGTAAACAGTAAACCAACATAAGGCTAGTATAACATAATAAGCAGTATTAACAGCAACAAACAGTGCAAACAATGCAAAATAAGCTGTATAAACAGGCAGTAAACAATGCAGACAGACAAAGGAATGTTCATTGTGAAATGGGATAAATAGGGATAAGGGTTAAAGATAGAGTACTTAAAACTAGAAACCTGTACGAGTCTGTATAATCTGTACAATGTATATTTATAGGTGTTGCACTGAGGCTTATTGTCCAGTCATACTGTCATTGGTTAAGTGTTCATCAGAGTGATGGCCCGGGGGAAGAAACTCAGCTTAGAAACTGTCCCTGTGCCTGGTTGTCTTGGTGCACAGTGACCTGTAACCAGTAACCAGTAAAGGAAACACCCCAATGACTGATCTGCTTGAAATAATCTCAAGTCAGTCTCCAGCCAGGAAGTCAACAAGTCTACTCAATACTGTTATCAAATCAGAGTCTTAAATCTGAGGATTGCATTCAGCTTTTATTAACAGTTCTTAGTGACTGTTCCCAAATAATGTGATCTGCCAGTGTGACCATTTTTTACAAACAGTGGAAGACAACCAAAAACTGTCAGTATGGCCGACCTTCACTATCTGGTTGGGTGTATCTGCCTTGTGGTAGTAGAGAAATCCATTACAGACAATGTGACCTGTCCCCTGCCAGTGGAACAGCAGCTGTATTGCCTTAACAGGTGAGGTGGTGGTCCTCTCTGCGAAGCTTTGCAGAGACGCATACTCCAGTAGAGTGTCATTATGAATTCCACTGAGTAGATAGACCTGAAAATTTTAGACAGATGAAGTGAGTAAGAACTGCCTTGTAAAACTCAGCTTTTTGTTTCCATTCTTGGCTATTTACAGTAATATTTGTAGTAGTTTTACCACAACTTTTACATTAGAATACACCCTCTGAAATGCAGTGTTTAAAATGAAGCTCTTGGTTTTTGTATCCACACAAGATCCTAACCTTCAACCCAAGTGACATAGAAGACAAACAGTATTTACATATTTTCTTATTTATCAGAATGGAAAACACAATCTAAAAGTGCAGCTTGACCATTTACTGTAAGTGAAGTTACCTTGGCATTGTGAAAGCCACAAGTGCAGCTGAGAGTTTCCTTTGTTAGGGTCATTTGTCCTCTCCAATGCAGAACGCATTGTTCTATCTGCAGACATAATAATAAAGAACTGTTTTACAGAACTGAGAAACATTAACTGAATAATGTTATAAAAGCGATGTGACAGATTCAATACCAGCCATAAACTAGTCAAATTGACATTATTATAACTTATTATTATTAGCTGTTCTGTATCGTGCAGGTGTCTTTTAGTAGGTTTCAAAAGTTAACATCAAGTGTACTAAGTTGCGGGCAACAGCCTCGGAGTCTGTGAGGCCGGGGTGAAAGGGCAGATCTTAGTTTGGCACCTGGGTCCATCGGCGTAGCTCCACATCTTGGGGGACGGCCCCAGTTTGGCTCCAGTACCAACATGTGGTTTCTGCGACACACTTGTCTCTGCTCTTCCAATGCCACAAACCTCACCGCTGATACAGCAGCACTTCAGGTTGCACGTTTGATTGTTTTGTGGGTTTTGTGTTGTTTGCACCGTTTTGGTACATAAATACGGCGGAAGACGGAGTCTACATAATAGCTTGAGGCCATAAATGTGTACCAATGATTATCTCTCACAAACTTAGACCCCCCCCATATAGTTGACAAACGTGTGCAGGTCGAATCGACTTGAAAAACAGCCAGGCATCAGGAAAAGTAAGATCAGGGGTTTGGGGACGCATAGAGAAATGGCCTATTTACCGACAACACGGCTCATTTTATATAAAGTGCAAACCGCATGTGTCCTTTTTTGGTTGCAGTGTCACCTCTTGTCCACCAGAGGTCTCTCTCACGGTACCGCAGGACCGATGGAGGTCGTGGAGCTCTGAACCGGGCGCGATGAACCCGTTTGACGGCTCCGGTTCTCCCCGACATGACGAGGTGGGGGACAGCCGGTGTCGGTGGGCCCGCTTCTCCTCCTGGCTGGAGTGTGTGTGTGTCGTTACCTTCGACCTGGAGCTCGGACAAGCCATAGAGGTACAGAGGGAGCCACCTTAGCATCGTTAGCATGGTTCATCATCAGGGGTGTAGGTCAGGTATCAGTAACTGATCTCAACACACGCCCCGATATTAATGCACCAAATGAGCGTGTGCTTTGCTGTCGGGGTCTGGTGCACCGTAATCTGTTTGTAAAACAGACAGTTTGATTTAACTGCGCCTGTGCGCAAATGCACCTGTTCTAAATAACGGATTCACCGAGAGACAGTCGGGTTCGGGTTGAGTTCGGCGCGCAGCGGTACACCAAACCATTTATAACATCTACACGTCCTGTTGTCTCCATGGGTGGATTACTGAACGGACACAGGCCCAAGGGCGGATCTAGGACGTTTTGGGCACGGAGCCGGGAGTGGGGGGTGGGGTTCATTTGAAATACATGTAAGAGGTCAGTTAAACCCCCTAGTTAAACCCCAGACTGACAGGCAGGGTAGTTGGGGAGTGTAAAAATGAACTATTTACTGCCATCTGTTTCAGGTGTCTGTTGATACACACTGTGTCCCTAGGGATTGGAAATAGTCAAGTTAAAGTATTTAAAAGTAATTAAAGTTTCTGTTCCCAAACTATGACAACCTGTGGTTTTCAACGATTTCTGCCTGTAGCTCTGGTATCTGTAGTTCTTAAGAGTCTGGAGAAGACAGTGTTAGATCATGTACAGGACAAGCATACAGTAAAGGTGAAATGATACACAACATGTAGATTTTATTGACATGGCTGGTGTTGAGATGGCGGTGTGTAAACTGAATATTGTACTCTTATATTCTTGTCATCTTATTTGTTAATGCAATTTGGTGTAAGTTCATTCTTACTTTTTCAGTTGGTGTATCCTCAGGATGTGAAACTCACCGAGAAGGAGGTATTTTTACTCTCTTCTACTTTATATTTCACTCACTTGGTTTATTGATGATCATTTTATTGATAATGATTCTAATGATTTGTTGTCAGAAAACTAGCATCTGCTACCTGTCCTTTCCTGACTCCTACTCAGGTAAACTCTGCTGCCTGACAGAATAGTGCTGTAGGTAATAGAAGTCAGAGGTCACATGGTCTATTATTTCCCAGGGTGCCTCGGGGACACGCACTTCAGCTTCAGGTTGCGTCAGTCAGTCGGTCGCAGAGCTTTGAGGTTCAGAGACAACGTTTACAACAGAGACGCTCCGGTCACCCTGCAGGTGAGGCCCCACAGGAAACGGCTGGTTATTGATCGACCAGCTGACTGTTTGATTAGCTCCTATGAGATCAGTGCAGTATGAACACAGGTGTCCAGACACTATATTTACTTTTTCCATCAGAGTTCAGGACACATGACTCTCAAGTGACAGGCCTTGATATGAATAAAAATACATTTATTCACAACTGAAGGGGACTTGTTGACCTTCATTCTCGGTTGATTGAAGAAGACTCGGGACACGCGTTTCCCAGTTGCCATCATAAGATGGTATAGTCTTCATAAAGAATCGGATGGGTCTGTCCTGCATATATGGTGGCCAGAGAAATTTCTAGCATCTCCTTGTAATTGTAGCCTTTTGGGGTTACCTTTAATGGTGCGTCTGAATCCATGTAGCACCTTATGCAGAAGCTAAAATGCAGCTTTGAGCCCCGTGGAGCGTATGTACAGCCTAGGAAAATGTTTGAAATGCATCCAGTAGTTTAGAATGTCTTTGCTCTTCCTGGCACACACCCGGCCACGTATGACCACCTGCTGATGCATGTAGCATGTATAGAAGGTGTAATCCTAAACTCATGCTAACCAGAATCACTAACAACAATTTATTGAAAAATTAAAAAATGTAGATCAAAAAAAAAATCTGAGCTGTTTTTGAAAATATTAATTGAGAGTATCCTGGCCTTAAACATGTTGTGGTGATTTGACGGTGGCTGCCAAAAATAAACTGGCAAAGGCTGTTAAAACTACTGGAAAAATTGTGAGTCGATCCCCGTTGGGCTTGTTCCCCCATGCTATTCCATATGTTTGTTGTAACATGACTCGGTCACCTGTGCGACAGGAGTTCACTGACGACCATCTTGTTTACAACTTTGTCTTGTCTCTGCAGACAGAAGTGTCCCATTTCTTTGGTTACGTCTATTTCAGACAAGTCAAGGACATCTCTGTGAAGAGGGGGTACTTCCAGAAGGTCAGACTCACCTGTTCACACCTGCACTCACCTGGTCACAGGGGAGCTCTGTTTCACACAGTAGATTACCAGTTAAACCAGGTTTATTTGGTGATTCACAGAGCAGGGGCCTGTTCTTTGTGTGTGGATTAGCAGGTTAGCCAGGTAACTCTGTGGACCATTTCACGTTATCCCAGATCTGCTGGTTCTTCAAAGGTTTCTGGATCATGTTTGTTGGCCACATATGTTTAAACACGAGGGGTTTGACTCTAGTACAGAGGCTCTGTGTGCTTTTGTAAGGAAAAGAAAATAGGAAAATATGTGCATTTAAAATGGGAAAGAATGGGGGAAAAGAGAGAAACAATCTAAATATATTCACACACTGGCTGAAGAACTATCAGGTCTTGGCGCCTCAGAGGACCTGTTGTCATGGCAACATGTCTGTAATCTCAGACATACGTTGGGAGTAGGTTAGTTCTCGGGCTTATTCAGTGTAAACAAGATAACTTCACAGATTTAAAGCATCTCAGAGCAGGAAGTGACTCGCTGACATCGGAGCCATTACAACAAGATGAAAGTTTAAAGAATACTGATGGTTCTGAGAGACCAGCAGGACCCGTCCCGACCTACTTTTAATGAAACGGTATCGTTTCAGTCAGGAATAATTTATTGGACTGTTAGCGCCTCATATTAGGCCCAGACAAAAGGAGCTGTGCTTTCACCACACAGTCAGGGTAATGTGGAGAGGTTAGGAAAGAGCCATCTGCCGAGCTGTTCTAAAAGTGCACCTGGCTCTGAAACAATTCCTCTGAGACTGCCTTCTTCCTCTGGGCTTTAAAAACAGGGAGAGTTAATTGATCTTGCCTGTGGAATTGATTGCGGCTGAGGACTCGACTTATTTTAACAACAGCACGAACCAGCGGCTTGTGATGAAGTGAACAGTGAAATAATGTTCTGGAGCTGATCTGTGTTGATCCAGAGGACACGTCAGTGTGAACTGTTCCAACTGTAGACACGTCTTCTGAGCCACTTGCTAAACCGCTGATAACAGACTTCCTCCCTGAAGGTTTATTGCTGCTGCTCTTCCTTGTTGGATGTTTTACTGTGTATCTCCTGCAGCAGTTTTGTCTTTTTCTCTGATCCCGGTTCAGTTTGTTACACCTTGTCTCCAGCCTGTTCTGAGCCTCGCTCATGAAGCACCTGTTCAGCCTGGTGATGGCTGTGTGGTCATGTGTGACCTACGGGTATCTGATTGGGTCACTCTCCGTCTTTCAGTCTCTGGTGTTGGTGTCCAGGTTGCCATACACTCACCTGTTCCACTCGCTGCTGCAGATCATCGCACCTGAGTTCTTTGAGAAGTTGGAGCCCTGCCTCGAAGCAGGTGAGGGTGTCATGCTTACACTATAACCACAAACCAATCAGAGTCGTACGTTTCACTCTGTTGAAATGTCACCTGACATCTTGTACCCATCCTCAGTGTGTAATGAGATCGACCAGTGGCCTTCACCCGTACCTGGACTGACCCTCAACCTGCCTGTGATGGGCGTGGTTTTACAGGTGAGGCCAGGAGCAAATATCTGGTTGTTTGATTTAAAAAGTCAAGGGTACAAGAAGCCTGTGGACATAAAAACTGAAGGGCTGACACCTGCGGCATTTCACTAACAGCCAATCACAGAGCTCAGTGTTCTGTCAAACAGGTCGATGTGAAAAAATGCCCATTAGATTTAAGGGCAGAAGAAAAGAGACTTTTTCCTCATGTGTCAGATGTCACTAACACCTGAACGACCAGCTCTGGATGTACTTTACATATCCTGTTTTGTGTTTTTGTTTGTTTTCTAGGTGCGAATTCCATCAAAGACAGACAAACCAGGAGGAAGTCCAGTCAAACAGAGTGCCACAGAGGTCAGAGACTTTCTGCTTTCCTGCTTCAGTTGCACTCAGTCTTTGCTGCTAGTGAACTTGAATAGGAATGTTTTTGTTTGGTCAGAACCTGGTGCTGGCTCCGACTCTGCTGCCCACCATCCACGAACTGGACCTCTTCAAGTCAGTCCTTGCTTCTACGTGCTGCTACCTGCTGATCGCTGTCATTTTCTGATTCAATTAGTTTTGGTTACTTGTCCAGTACATTTAGTCACATTTGGTTCTGGTTTTATTTTTCCAGAAACATGCCAGCAGATGTTTCTGACAGCAGACGGTTTGCACTTTGACCTCTCCTCAGGTGTTTCCAGTCCGTCCTGATCCACCTGCAGATGCTCTGGGAGCTGATGTTACTCGGAGAGCCGGTGGTCGTCATGGCACCCTCTCCTACCGTCTCCTCGGAAACCGTGCTGGCACTTGTCAGGTAACTGAGCGGCCAGTGAGAATGTGTTCGTATTTTGTGACTTGGACACAGTTTAGGATTCAGAACTTATCTCAGTAAATTACCACATATCGGTATGTAACGTTTCTTTTCTCAGGCTGAGTCACCTTTTGTGTCTCTGTGAATGAACTTTAGTCCAGGTTGAATCTTGACTTGACTGATGTCTCTGCTTGGTTTACTTACATGACTTTAAAAACATAAATTGATTGTATTGTTGAAATTTGACCAGTGTTCAGTTTTCTCTTCATTTTATTTTTGTCCAAAGAAACGACTTGTTGATCATGAGCCCAGCACTCACTGATCAGGAGATAATGACTGGATGGCAGGATTTATAAAATGTGTAAAATCATGAAGACTGGTAATGTTTTAGAAAAACATCTAAATAAAAACACTTCCTTTTAAAAGTAATGTTAAAAATAAAGTCAAAATTTACAGTGAAAATATTCAGACATATTTGATGTTGGAAATGAAACATTTGGTTTTCTTCTTAAACATTGGTGAGACGTTAGTTATGTAGGATTTGTATTTATATTTATTTCTCCAGCCTTGTTTTCTCCAGCTAATGTTGTCAGTTCAATTGTTTCTTTGCTCCAACATGTTATTTATTGCATTTCCTATCAGTGATCTGTGACAGGAAGTTTTAATGAGCCCCTGGCAGCCAATCAGAGAGCAGTGTTTGATTAATTGCCATGGTAACAGCATATGTGTCCTCAGCTCCATCAGTCCTCTGAAGTTCTGCTGTGACTTTCGTCCTTATTTCACCATCCACGACAGTGAGTTCAGAGAGTACACCACCAGGACGCAGGCTCCGTGAGTTTACTGGGCTAGCACCCGTACGGCACACCTATACAAACTTGTTCTGATAACGTTTGTGTGTGTTTCAGTACAAATCAGCTTTTTTTTAAATCAAGGAACAAGAAGAACAAAGAAAATAACTTTAATAACTTTGTGGAACATGCTGAACTATTTGTCCTACTCAGACTCGTTTCACTTGCCATAGAAATAAAGTGTACAGATTTGCCACAGTGTGCATTGTCCCCTGGGAAGTAAAACCAGTTTCCTAAACAGAAATGTGACCTTTCTGTCACACAGAGCGAACGTCGTCCTCGGAGTCACTAACCCGTTCTTCATCAAGACGTTTCAGTCGTGGCCTCATGTCGTCAGACTGGGAGAGGTCAAGATGGCCGGTAGAAAACCTGGTTCTCTCTTTCCTTCTCTTTTTTTCAGTTTCTTCCCCACCTCCTCTTTCCATTCCTGCCTTTTCTTCATACTTATTTCCTTTTCTTCTTTATTGGTGTGTTCATTCTTCTGTTCAGTATTTAATGGTACAGGAACATTTATGGTGCATGCATTAATCCAAAGTGACCCCCATTAAAACCTGGCGTGAGCGGAGAGCCTTTGAGACTAATCCCTAAAAGTGTGCTTCAGGTTTTTCACTGAAGCAAATGAAGACGAGTGCAGGGTGTGTGCCTGTCTCAACCTCTGACCCGGCGTACATTTAGTGAAACACATGAGAAAGTTTGCACCATGTTGATTAGATCAGACCGTTTCTCATATAAAGTCTGTCTGACCGCTTCCAGGTGATTTACCTAAACAGATGAAGGTGAAGAAACTGTCCAAACTGAAAGCGCTCGACACCAAACCAGGTAACGTGACGGCCCAGTGTGAGACGTTATAAATCTGATGCTGTGGTTTGAGAGGTTTCTGTGTGTCCCCGTAGGGATCTACACAGCGTACAAGACGTTTCTCCACAAAGACAAGATCCTGATTAAAAGACTGTTGAAGGTGAAGCAGCAGCACAAACTGCACATTAGCCCATGAACAGGATGAAAGCCTGTTTCATTTGTTCTGTACCTGTCTTTGCGTTCAGGGGATTCAGAGGAAAAGACCTTCAGAGGTTCAGAGCGCTATCTTGAGGAGACACCTGTTGGAGCTCACTCAGAGCTTCATCATCCCTCTGGTGAGAAATCAGTCTCTGCCTGTTTTCTTTTCAGTCCTGGTGGTAAATGTCAGCTCGAATATTCACACAGTTCACAAAGTGTTTAAACCTAAATATGCATTAGCTGTTTTTAATTAAACATGTCAGGTTAACCCTGCGTTTTGTCTGTCAGGAGCGGTACATGGCGAGCCTGATGCCTCTACAGAGATCTGTGACGCCCTGGAAGGTAAACAGGAAGTGGTTCCTACGTGATGAAGTCACAGTGATGTCATCAGTTGGGAGATGGAACCCAGTTCATGTGTTTTATGTTTATCTGCTCTCTTCGGTCTCTGTTGTGTTTTCTTGTTCAGACTCCTCCTCAGATTCGACCCTTCTGTCAGGACGAGTTCATGTCCACCCTGGACCACACTGGCCCTCAGCTCACCTCAGTGCTCAAAGGTGATTGGATCGGACTGTACAGGTGAGTCCCACGTGTCTGCACGTGAGAATAAGGTCACTTTGTGTTCTTAG